TGCCACAAACAAGATTCCAAAATAAATTTGGCTCCTTTGATCAGAAGAATTTTCCATAATTAAGAGGGAATTCCCTTCACGTATGAACTTGACCTTTATATATGAAAACAACTGGCTGAGATAACAAAATTCTTCAGGATACTAAAGCTCATCCTCTGCACTTCTACTAACTTGAATCAGAGATAAACTGAACCAAGAAGCACGCAATTGGTTGAACATAACTCAACCCACCAATCTAAGATGTGTTTTCTAGATAAAACATCTTAGAAGCACGACACAAATACCTTCTCTTCCAAATCAGGAGTAGGTTCCAAACATATGTGATCACCACACATTTGTCTGGAACCCAGAGCATCTGTTATGCAACATGAATCAGCACGCCTGCTGACACAATGTCCCAACATCTTGTAGGACATTAGTTCTCTTCTTCTGGAACTCACAGAATAGAGCTTGGTTCTGAAGCCTAACACTGCTTCCAGAAAACAAATAACCCTTGATCACCTTCAAGGTCTATAAAAATATTCCAAGCTTCAGCAATAGCAAACAACAACAAGACTCAGAGTCACTTTCCCAATTAGGTCAAGTATTAGGAATACTATTGATGAAGCCATAATAAATGGCTCTGATCTTTCTTCAACAAGAAACTCATCAAAAGTGAATTTATGAGTGGACTTGAGAGATAAAACTCAAGCATCATTGGTAACTTTGCAGAGTCAGTTGATATTATCTTGCACACATTATAACATCACACACCCAACCTGCTGAGGAGACCAAATCCTAATTCACTTCCTTTACTTGGGACACAAAGAAAAACCAGAGTTACAACAAATACCATGCAGCAGAATACACAACAACACAAAACTCCTCAACAGTCTTCAGGCACAACATATTTCACACAACCACCATAATCCAGGTGCAAAAGGTTAACCTAGGTTTGAAAATAAATCAAACCCTTAACACAGTAGCTTTCCACCAAAGCTACACGCCTAAAAACAACACAAACGGGTCCAATACACACTCTATCATGAACAATCCATCCTCCACTTCTACGAACTGTTCAAACACAATATGAACTTTCCAAGTTCAAACAACTTTTCATTAATAACCTCCTTCCTTGCCCATAACCAGAAATTATCATCCCAGGATCTCACCTAGAAACAGAACATGATGCTTGCTCTGATACTAATTAAAATTTTGGTATGACAGAACTCAGATGTCCTATGGCATGTCGAGACATCGGACCTGACTTAAATATTATGGCAAGGCATAAATAATTAAAAATCAGTACTGAAAAGAATAAACAACACACATGAATTGTTAACCCAGTTCGGAACAACCTTCATACTCTGGGGGCATACCAAGCCAGGGACAAGTCCACTATGATAGTATCAATTCATAGACCCTACAGCAAACATACCAGTTTACAGTCTACTCACTTAATCACTATGTGTGCTATACTTCTATCTAAGACTCACCTAGATATGAAGCCCTCATCAATCCCTCATCAATCATAAACATCGATTGGACAACAACACATGAAGACACACTTTCATGGCATCAAACTAGAAGACACACTTCCATAACAAGACCTAGCCAAGACTTAAATTTAAACTCCACTATTTACAACTTTAATCCTAACTAAGAACAAAACTTGGAGTTTCTTAAAAGCTTCCTATGAGAATAATATTCAACTCATTACTTTACAACTTCTGAGTGAGAACACAGTGACCATCTCACAACCCGAGTGGTTCACTTACACCAACTCTCCTAGAGAGTGGCGACAGACTCAGCACTAATTATTACATCTTTAAGTTCATGGATAGTACCTTTCTTAGGTTACAAAGACTACTATTTATAACCTTTATCCCAACTGGGTTTGAGCCTTCAAATCACAACACATTTGTTGTTACAAACCAGCAGAAACTTCTGCTACAAACAAGGTCTTCAATCATTAGTTTCCTAAAATCTCCATATTTAGAAATTGTATATTCTTCAATATTCTGACTTGATTATTCTTGACCTTTAATTCAGCGCCACATAGGATTACATAATATTCCCAGAATATTCTACATCTGTTAAATCATAATTGAATCCATCTATTTAGCTCAAATCAGGCGCAGTGTCGTATGCTCCTTCATATGACATATTATATGACATGTTGTTCCAGATGATGAGAACTTCTCATCTCAACATGTCTCAACATAAGTTAGGACTTCTTGCTCAACCTGTTTCTGTTAGCAAGTTAATACACCTTATCTAACATAATGCTACTATACTAGTTTAACCAAACATAATGCCAATCACATAATTCAGAGAATTAACATTTTCATTCATATTTCATAGTGTTTATTCAAAAGTGTGACTCGTCTAGGAAGGTCGTAGAACCTCAAAATGATGTTGAGCTATGTGAGTTATTGAAAAAATGCATGTGCTCAAAACGGGATACAAGGAAGGTAGATTGGTGATTCATTGAGACTGGTCTCTTTGGTAGTTACGAGAGCTCGTCTAGTGATAGTCCAGGGAGTGAAGCGCCTAGTGATAGTGACACTAACTTCGTGTCTTCTTCGCTAGATCCGACTAAATATCACATGGCGCTCGTAGCTACTAATTTGAGCATCTTTTGTGAAGAAACCTTGAACTTCGAATTGATCTTCCTTGAAGAAGATTGGATCCAAGATTTCTTACTAGACATGGAACTATCCAAAACTGAGAACGAGGTTGATGTGATTTTGAAACCTTGTTTTTAATGTAAAAAGATTTGCATGCGGAGACTTCTGGGTTGGAGGACGAGTACTACTAATTTTACACTAGGGTGATCAAGGACTACAGGGTTTGTAACCTTTTCACCGTCCTATAGTTCGAGATCTCGAAGATCATTAGTGTCACGCCTTCCTAGCTACGTTTGAATAATTGGGCATTTGTCCGGGCTTTCAAGATTCTATGTTGAAGTCTCGACATTATTATACCCGCGACGCGCGAGCCCTTTGTTAAAATGGGCTATGATCCAACCAAACTGAGCGAGACAGAGAGAGAGGCGCCCGATCTTCTAAAGGGATTTTCCCTTATAGGGGTGTGAAGCCTACTAGGGCTTGATGGGTATCTCCCAACACTAATAATTTTTTTTTGTTGCATAGGATGCTTTCTAGATGTTTTATGATTGTATCTTGTTCCTGAGTGATTTTAACTTATCTTTTGTTTTTCTTTTGTTGTTCAAAGAGGATGGCTCCTCTGTCATTACAGGAGAGAAAAGCGATGATGGGGAATGCCAAAGCCTGCCAGGGCTAGGTGGACCCGAAATCACTAGAGTGATTCTTTTGGCTTCCAAACAAGGGAGGTCAAGAAGCAAAATCAACCACTAAGAGGAAAGTCATCAAAATCGTTCTCATATCAGCTGTCTTGCCACCACTTTCTGAGAGTATATCTAGCGACCTACTACGAAGAGGAACAAAGTGAACCTCGACAAGGAGGTCAATAATATGAACTCAAACACTTATATATATTTAGAGATGAACAATTTTATGGAAGGAGACAATGCTGGCTCTTTCAAAAGTGGATTTTCTAATTGGATGACATTCCCCTGTGACCATTACCCTAACCTACACATTTAAAAATAAAAGAAATATTACAAATCATTGTCTTGTTACTGAAAAAAAAATGCATCAACACAAATTTAACCATTAGTTTTGACTTTTACTAAATTACATCCCTTTTAACGGTTACTAAACTATGTATAGACAAAACTCAATAAATTGTAATTTTATAGGAACTAAAATATATTTAACTACTACTAAAAATAAATATTGGACAAGCTATTTGATTTCAGCAAGGCACTCGAATATTGAGTTGTATTATTCATTATTCCATATAAATCAATATTCCATTTCACGTGTTGATGTCATGCAACAAAATAATCATGTTTTTTTGAATAAAGTTTCTTGGTCTCCTTCTTTCACTCCCTCTTCTCTTCAATTTTCAAAGTAATAATCCCCATCTACACCAATGCAAGACAGGTGGATATTTTGAAAAGAACCTCAAATATATCATGCAATAAATATACATACGCGTAGATATATAAATCTCAAAAAACAGCATCGTCAAAAAAGCCCTAAAACCCTAAAAAGAAAACAAGTACAAACAAAACCAGCTGTAACTTGTTGCGTAAGTTTCTCGTTGCGTAGCTTCTTTGAGAAGCTCACAATGACTTGTCGGATACTATACTATTTTGTATATTAGCATTACCAATAATAATGAAGGGTTATGCTAATCTAGTGTCTTTTTCTTCGTAACCTTTACTTCAATATACAGTCTTAACCAATTACTACATCATTTCAAATCAATTTCTTCAAAGTTAACTGACAAAAAACGCTGTCTTGCTGACCCCAACATCAGTAAAAATGTTTCAACGACATTAAATCAACGAACTTGCGTTGAAAACACGTGAAAATTCAGTAGTTACCACAATATAAAATACAGTATATATACACGTATTTTTCTGGTGAGATATATGTTACATTCTGTGTCGGTTCGTATATACGTGTCTCTGAAATATTATATAACTTTAACAACACTCAAATTTGACACTGCAGCTGAACTCCCAACACAAATAGTGACACATATATACTCTCTAACTCTAAAGAGGTGAAACGTCCTACCAAGAAGAATCAGGTTGCCCCATCTCCACTCTTACCTACTACTTTTCTCTTTTTCTTATTAATTCATTTCTACATTAATATAAATATATATAGTTTTAATTGCAATTTAGAAATACAGTGTATAAAGTGATGATGTAGACAAGCGTATATACACAAGGAAACTTGGCGTTCAAGCAGCCTTTTTCCTATATGTAGACCCCACTCTTGACTCCTACATTTCTTTTCTTTATCACTTATGTCTCTTCCCTTTGCTTCATTCTCCTTCTCTTTCTCTCTATCTGCAACTCTAATCACACCTCAATCATGCACAAAAATATTAACAGGTGTTGATAGAATTGGAAAATCTCAATGAAAGATATCATGACATGGTGCAATGATTCAAGTGATCGAGATAGAGGCATTGAACTAATCACATCCAGTGCTATTCCTAGAACAAGCAATGAAAGTACTCTTATCACTGATGAAACAAAATCAACCCGAAGTCGAACCTTAACTTGTCCCTCATGTGGTCATAACATTGAATTCCAAGATCAGGTATTTTTTCATTTTATCATAATTTTACAACCTATTTTTTGAAATTTTAATTGATTGAGTTTAATGAATGAATATATCATTAGGGCGGAATCAATGATTTGCCGGGATTACCAGCTGGAGTGAAGTTTGATCCAAATGATCAAGAGATACTGCATCATTTGGAAGCAAAGATTCTATTTGATGTGCCTAAACTCCATCCTCTTATAGATGAGTTCATACCAACCCTTGAAGGAGAAAACGGAATCTGTTACACTCATCCAGAAAAGTTACCAGGTCTTAATGATTTTATGTATATAATACTTCAAGAAAATTCATATTTAGAATCCCTATGAAATATACCTTGTATACTATATGATAGAATTAGAATCTATAAGTTAGATAGGACAAGTTGGGGTTGGTTTGTGAAAAAAAATTAGCAGAAAATTAAACAAAGACCCTTGAATAAGATATTCTACCAGTCAAATGAATATATAACGTCTTGTTTGCTTCATTTTTAGTTCTTGCATTAATTTGTAATATGTATCTAGCACCAAATCATGACATGTACATGATTGAAAAAACTAAATTTCTTTCTACTATTTTCTTTATTAGTGTTTGTTTTGTAAATAAATTTCATTGAGATTAAAGCACAAAGAGACACTAAATGAGAAAGTTGTCTTGAATCCTAACTACCCTAAACATTAATCACATGTCAAGACGTAACTAATTATCAAAAGGGAGAAAAGGCAAGAAAGAACAAACCAAAATCATGGAAATGCAAGTTTTCTTTTGATAACCTTTTGGTATCTTCACCAACAAGCCATTCATGTCAATCCAATGTTTGCAATTAATATGCATCATTCATACTCGTGTTTCTGTATATCTCTTTTATGAAACATGCACTATTCTGATGCAGGTGTAAGAAAAGATGGACAAATTCGGCACTTCTTTCACCGGCCATCAAAAGCATACACAACAGGCACAAGGAAAAGAAGAAAGGTTCAAACAGATGAAGAAGGAAGTGAGACAAGATGGCACAAAACAGGAAAAACTAGACCAGTTTTCATTGGTGGTGTTATTAAAGGTTTCAAAAAGATACTAGTACTCTATACTAACTATGGAAGGCAAAAGAAGCCTGAGAAGACTAATTGGGTGATGCATCAATACCATATTGGTAGTAATGAAGAAGAGAAAGATGGAGAGTTAGTTGTTTCAAAGGTCTTTTACCAAACTCAACCTCGACAGTGTGGTGCTAATAATAGTTCAAACATTAATATAAAGGATGCTTATGAAAATAGACTGATGATGGCTCAAGGAAATGTCCAAGATGATAATGAAGCTCCTACTATGGATTACTACAATTCTTCTTTCATCAACTATGACCATGTTGGTCATACTTTGGAACCACAGGTTTTTCCAAACTTGGTTATGCAAGGTGATGGTTCTTTTATTCGATTAGCAATGGATGCAAACAAAACAAGATTGGACAGAAATTAGCTATGTGATGAAAAACTTCCTTGGTAGGATTATTAATGTATAGTGGTGACAATGACTACATAGATATTGATGGTTTTTATTATTATTGTTGTTATTATATATACAACATTATATTTATTCTATATTAAATTTTATATGTATATGTGTAATAAAAATAGAGAAAATGGGATGGATGTACATCTCTTGTTGTCTGATTTAGAAGGGCAAAATTTTTCAATTGTATGATCACGTGCTGATATTGGGGATTCGCACCTAATCACTCACCAAATCATCACTAAGAGATTATCTTCTTAGAAGAAGAGGTGAGTCTTCGAGATAGAGTGGTCCTTCTCCAATCGGTCCTAAACTCAATCCTTAATTTTTTTCTCTCTTTTATAAAGATGTTGGTGTCGGTGTGAAAAAAGCTTTGTCGGTTATAACGGATATTTATATGGGAGGGTTCAAAGGTGGGTTTAAGGTGGCGTGACTCAGGTGAGAAGATGTGTATAAATCAAAAAAAAAATGGCAGGTTAAAAGTTTAGGATATGAGGCACGTCAATTTTGCCATGTTTAGTGAGTGGCACCGGAGGTTTTTGGAAGATCATCTTTCACTTTGGATGGTGTAATATGGTGGGAGAACTGACTTGAGTGTTTTATATTTTATCGCAATTGTTGCGGATAGCAAGAGTCGTCACCGACTTTTCTTTTATCTAATAAAGAAAATGGTGAAAAGAACAGAAAAGACCTTTTGAGAATTTTCTTGAGTTCAGAGGTAGGTTATGAAAAGGAAAGGTATTAGAACCATTTTCATCTGTAGTTATCTACGGGCTCTTAGTTGCTAACTCACTTTGAAATGTTTTGTTTGAAATGTGTTTGTGATGGTTTTTGAAAATATTTTTGAAAAGTGTCTTCGTTTAGGAAAACTTTGTAATGATTCTCGTCTCTATAAGAATGTATACAAAGTGTTGACTTTTGAAAATATTGCATAGAAAGTGTTGGTGTATTTGAAAGATGTTTGGTTTAAAATGTTTGTGAGCAAGCAACTACGAATGTTCTACCTACTCAAAAAGTCTTTGTTCATTTCCTCCTCCTTTAGATATTGCTATCTTACCATTGATTGGTAAGAAACCCTATCATTGAATGTGAAGGGACAGACGTGGATCGTTGTACAGTCATAGAAGGCAACATTATAGGATACCTTAGCAATTTTTGTAAGGGTCTAAGATCATTTATGAAGACAATATTTGAAGGGTCGTCGAGGAACTATGATCTTGTATTCGAGGGTCATTGCTAAAGTATCCCACGTTCGAGGGACATGACTGTTTTATTCGGGGCAACAAGTGTGGATTATCCTAGAGGTGAAAATGTGTAAAGTGTATTAATTTCATGCATTTTTGTCTTTGAGATTAAAGTTTTCTAATGATTGATTTTATCTTGACATACAAATCCTAATTACTAGCAATAATATTGAAAATGATAAATTGCGGGAATTTAAAGTTCTACGCTATTACATCTTTTTTTAGGGATGAGGATACAAGTTTATGAATGGGAGATGAAAGCAATAAATTTCTAATTATACTATTACAATCATATTGAATATTTAATAACAATATCTAAAAATATAAAGATAATGTAAAAAGGAAGGAAAATTATTTAAAAAGATCTTTATGCATTGACACATGCACTTATGCATCAATACATATCATCTCTTGTCCCTGGAAATCAAAACCAACTCAGTATGTATTGATGCATGATGGTTTGTGTTGTACCCCAAAATTTTCCTTCTCATTTCTCAAGAAATCTCTCATAAGATCTCCATTGATTCAAGACTACACAAGGTTTGATCAGCTCAAGACACCTCCTCAAGCACTGACAACTCAAAATTAGGGTTTGAGTTCTCACAAGGACAATTGGACTTTCAAGGCCTCAAATGACTTTCATGGATCATTAGGAACCCTCAAGATTGCTCATGTCAAGTTTCAAGTCTTGAATCACAAAATTGCTCAGTCATTTGATTAGATGACCCAAAATCAACTGTATTGGATAAAAAGTCAATTGTGGTCAAACTTCATGATTTTTGATCCATATCAACATTATGAACTCATCTATATCAATTGATCAAGTTGGATCATAATTCCTCAAAGAAATTTGATCAGAACACCAAAAGGGCAAAATGGTCAAAATTAGGGTTTTGATTAAGAAGGCTTAGTTCTTGACTTTTGACCAAGAAAATGACTTATTGGTTCAAGACACGATCTCAAGGATTCAAATGCACCATCTTGACCTAATTTCATGGTTCAAATCACCTCTCAAGATCATTGGATTGACAGGTGAATTTCAGTCAACTGATGAAAAGTCAACTATACAGTGAAAAGTCAAACTTTGACTTTTTGATCAAAATCAAGTTTCAAAAATCATATTTCATCAAGACATGTCAAAATATGAAATTTGTTCATCAAGAAATTGAAAAGTCAAAATTATCTTTGAAAAGTCAAAATTCTAAGACTTAGAAATTTTTCTAAGTGTTAGAAAGTTAACTTTTTTCATAACTTTGTGCCAAATTTCCACCATGATGCAAGATGATTCAAGGAAAACTTCCAACATGAAAGTTGTAGATCTCAATGAGACCTAAAACATTTTAGGGAAGAACTTTTTCTAGAAATGCTTGGATTTTAAGTTATGAATTTATGAAGACATGTCCATGAAACTAAAAGACCTAGCAATTTTTGTAAGGGTCTAAGATCATTTATGAAGACAACATTTCAAGGGTCATCGAGGGACTATGATCTTGTATTCGAGGGTCATTGCTAAAGTATCCCACGTTCGAGGGACGTGATTGTTTTATTAGGGGCAACAAGTGTGGGTTACCCTAGAGGTGCAAATGTGCGAAGTGTATTGATTTCATGCATTTTTGTCTTTAAAATTAGGGTTTTCTAACGATTGATTTTATCTTGCCATACAAATCCTAATTACTAGCAATAATATTGAAAGCTATAAATTATGGGAATTCAAAGTTCTATGATATTACATCTTTTTTTGGGGATGGGGATACAAGTTTATGAATGGGGGATGAAAGCAATAAATTTCTAATTATACAGTTACAATCATATTGAATATTGAATAACAATATCTAAAAATATAAAGATAATGTAAAAAGGAAGGAAAATTGTTTAAAAAGAATTTTATGCATTGACAGATGCACTTATGCATCAATATATATCATTTGTTGCCCCTGGAAATCAAAACCAACTCAATATGTATTGATGCATAATGGTTTGCATCGACTCATATTTGTTTTGCATTGACACATGCACTTATACATCGATACATATCATATTTTTGCTCCTGGAAATCAAAACCAATTCAGTATATATCGGTACATAATGGTTTGCATCAACTCATATCTTTTTTGCATCGACTCATTCGTGTTTTGCATCGACTCATACACATTTTTCTCTCTGTAATGTGTCTTGATAACAATATATATTGATTCATAATGCCTTGTATCGACTCATAACCTGTTTTATACCTAATATGAGTCGACTCATAGAGATATGCATCGACTCATACTGTTGTTTTATACTTCTAACATTATTCTGTCACATATATAAGTCATTTCTCAACACATGATTAGTGAAAATGAAAAGTAAGCATATGTTTAGCTTCAGGGCAATGATATCTACATTTTATCTTCACAAATGAACCACTAATGATGCTTGTATGAAGAGTTTAAAGGTCAAGAAAACTTACCTTGAAATTGAAATTCGTGTTTTGATTTAGAGTTGTCGTATTGTCTTGGGGAAGTCAAGTTACATGTGGCTGTTTTTGGGATTGGAAATTGTGATGATGATGTAACAGAAGTTGTTCTCGTGGTTGAACAACTCCGATATGATGTATGTGGAGTGTTTGGATGGTTTGTTTAGACAAAACTTTCAAGGTGTGAGAGGTTCAAAGATTTGGACTTCAAAGCTCAAGAGTGGAGGTTTTATGGACAGTTATGGTTTTTTGAGAGTATGAGGAGTTTTGAGAAACTTGTCTACACAACAAAAACTTTTTTTTAGCTTGCAAATGACCTATCTATTTATAGAGAAGGTTTGAGAGGATGAGAGAGTTTGTTTCACAAGCTGTGGAATTCTGGTTTGGTTGAGATGAAATAACTAAGTTATATGAAATTTGATGTCCCAATGCATGGTACAAAAGGGATATGGAGTGGCTAGGATTTTTTAGGCATGTTTCTTCTTGCTTTGACATTGTGTATGCAGAAAAAAAAAGTTGAGAGACTCAAGGAGAGCTGACTTTATATAAAGCATGCTTTTGTGAATGGCAATGGTGCCTTTGTGCCATAAATGACAAAATGGATTGGATAATGCCTTAACCACTTGGATCATAGCTCAAGAGTTTGTGTAAACAATTAATTATAGTGAGATTTGAAAGTTAGAAGGTCTGCAAAGTAATATTATGCAACATAGCATGAAGATTGTATTATGTGTTCTTCATAAAAATGACTAGTATTTAAAGAATGGCTGCCCAACTTCATGCCTTTGAATCTCCTAACTCAAGTATGATAAATTCATACTCTTGGATATTTTGGAAAGCTTGAAACATTGTCTAAAACTTCCATGATAACCATTTTGGATAAATCAAATTGGAACTTGAGGAAAATTGGCCAAGAAGTTGAGATAAAAACTGACCAAAACCTGTTGAAAATTTCTCTAAGTGTTTTATGAAAAATGTCATGACTTTAGGAATTTATAACTCAAAATCCAAGCAATTCTAGGACTTGATCAGCAAAGCAAAGTTGTAGATATCATCAAGATCTACAACTTTCAGGTTGAAAGTTTTCTTTGAATCATCGTGCATCTTGGTGAAAGATTAGCATGAAGTAATGAAATTATCATGTATAAAAACACTTAGAAAAAAATTTTCCAAGTCTTGAAAAGTTTGACTTTTTACATTGACTTTTAACTTTCTTGATTTCTTGATGATAAAGCTTCATATTTTTGAATATCTTGATGACTTGT